CAAAGTCTTCACTTAAATATATCAAATTTCTTAAAAACCAGCAGCTACAAATTTTTAAAATATTAAAAATGATTTAATATGTAAAATCATTTAATTATAAAAATATATCAATGATATCATGAACAACACTTCCCTAATTAAAGAAACTATTCTTTAAATAAATAAAATCAAAGAACAAGTGAATAGGTTTGGAATACAGTGATATTTTAGAAGCTTGAATTAAAGCACACACTATGAACAAAACTGACTTATAGGCGTGACTTATGTAATTTCCATTTATCTTGATGAGTATACCATTTTAATTAGTTTAATATTTTACTTCATTTAACATTACTTCAAGTATTTTTGGCAGACCAAAATAAAATTCTTCACTGAATATCACATATTATTGTAATTTTATGGGTTATAATTATTTTAATTGGCTGGTTGATTTAATTAAAGCAAAGCATATATGTGCTATCTTTCAAAGCAGGGATTCCCTGATATGTGACTTTTTCCGAGAGTTTTCATGGTTTTCGCCATGTGTAATGTGAATACGAGCCAGTTTCTTTTAAAAAGCCCTCTATAAAAGCATTCCTTTCCAACAGGCAGATAGCCCCCAAATGCTTTACTATAGTCAAATCAAAATTAAAAGCCCTCCATGAAAGTATCCTATCCTGTTGGCAAATAGCCCTCATGTGCTTTGCCATATTTAAATAAACTTCAATGGAAACTGGCTTATATTCATTTTAAATATGGGAAAAAGCATTTAAATACCCATCAAGTTAAATTTTTTCTTCGGGATTTAAAGTTTAGTCAAAATTGCAAGTCTTCATTGGCTGCTGGTAAGCTATTATAATGATTTAGGTAAACAGTTAAGGTAAGGATTTAGGTAAACATTCACACTTTGGTAGTTAACTTAATGAAACCTCTGGCAGATTACTAATTTATATACAGTTCAAAAGGACATGTGGGTCTCTTTCAGAAGGACATTCATGTGGATGGCACACACAACAAACAGCATTTGAGCAGCTGAAGCAGGGGTTAGTCAATGCTCCTCTGTTAAAATTCCCGGAAGGGGACCAAAATTTAGAAATTGCTGCTGATGCTTCAGACTATGCAGTTGGCACCATCCTTTTGCAAAACAGGCAGCCAGTTGCCTATTTCGGCAAAACGTTGAATCTAACTCAGCAAAATTACATAGCAACTGAACGGGAAACTCTTGCCGTACTTTTAGCTGTACAAAAATTTCAAGTGTACTTTGGAAGCGTCCTTATTCAGACCATGCTGCTATTGGTCATTTATATTCTGGGAAAATTTTTTTTGCCGATGATGAAGCTGGACTTTGAAGGTACAAGAATATAATCTTATTATTAAACACACGGCAGTGAAGGAGAATGTCATAGTCCTGAGACACTATTATTACAGAACTGAAAGCTGACCTCAAATTAAAAAATAACTATGTGTACCTTGAAAATGGCAAAAATGTTTAGCAAACAGACATTAATGCAATTAGAAATAGAGCAGCATATAATGAAATTATTATTTTACACCAAAGTAACTAACGAGAATCATGAATTTAGACTGGTTATCCCAGCTAGCTTATATTAAAGTATTCTAAAAGAATTACATGACAGAAAAACAGTCCAAAGAATCCATGAAGCAGTTTATTTTACGCAATTACAGAAAGTTGTTACAACACATGTCAGGTCATGCCATTTATGTCAAATAATTAATGATATTAATTATAATCCAACCAAGTACATAAACAGTATCAAATCTTCTTTTCCCAATGAATTAACAGGGATCGATTTGTTGGGTCCTTATCCCCAAAGTCAAGTAAATAAAAACAGATATATTTTGGTTGTCATAAATCACTTCTCTAAATTGGTAGAGATAGTTCCCCACAAACGAACCTCCGCAAAATTCATGACAGATTCATTTTTATATAAATATATATTAAAGCCCCACTAAAGGTAATTTCTGATAACGGTAGGCAATTCGTAAGCCAGCTTTTTGAAAATTTATGCACAGGGGTTGGCATATGCCATTTAAAAATGGTTCCATACCATCTGCAGTAAAATATAGCAGAATGAGTAAACAAAAATATCATGAAAATTATTAGGGGATATGTAAAGATTTATCATGATCACTGGGATAGCTGCATCAGAAGGCAGGTAATAACATTGTGGGTCAGGATGTATTCAAGAGGAAACAATCATTATCTTCAACCCCTGAGAATAAGGAAGGCAGGTAGGTGACGGAAGACGGGGACGCCTGGTGGCTACCAGGGATAAACAGGCATGTGTCCCTCGCCTTCCACTATCTAATGGCAACAATTCCCTGTGGCCTCAGGAGACCACACTGGGAGCTTATTAAGAGCGCAGGAGTTTACATGGCCAAACAGGGGCGACTTATTGACATTCACTGGCGAAATGAGCCAAAATTTGACAGCCTGTTCATCATCCAGAGGGGAAAATATGTCACAGTTTATTTGCAAGACAACAGTTTGTGGCTAATATTGATCAAATAAAGCCATACTATCAATGGTCTGATTTACTTGTTTTCAAGCAGTTTTTGCAGGAACCTAGAAGAGAGCCAAGAAGTAGCAGTACTGAATTAGCACCACCAGTTGTAACAGCACAGAAAAGAGTTGCAACTTCCACACCAGCTAAAAAGAGGCCACAGTCAAGTCTGATACCGACAATCAGAAAAAATCCATTGCAAATGCAGAGGAGGAAGCAAGCACAGATGGTCATCACAAAGTCATCACATGAAATGCATTTGGAGTGGATCTAAAAAAATCCCACCTTTGGTCAGCCAAGGGCCTATACGAAAGTCCAAGGTTGAAACATCCTATAATCTGCTTCTTCCCTGCAGATAAGGAAAATCAAGTGGAACAGGCCAGACGCAAACACAAGAAGTGGCTCTCATCCTGTGAAGAAAGAGGCCAGAATTTCAGTCTCCACAAACCTGCAGGAAGCAAGGACGGTTTATGGCCAAAGGTCTGAAGAGGAAAGATTCTCCCATGCAAACTGAAGGTTGGCCGCAAAGACCTTAAATCAACTACATTGACTGTTTTCTGACTTCAGAAGTGTTCTTACAGAAACAAATGGCCAACTTCAAAAGTGAAAAAAGACAAGTGAATTTTTTTTAACTTTCTTCTTAGTTTAAATACAGTTTATATGATACACACAGAGTTGCTATGTAAAGTTTAGTTTTCCTCAAGCAAGGTCATTTTTCAATTGTTAATGGCAAGAAGCTTGAAACTGTTTCGCAAAGTTCGCAATAATGCAATCTATTTTTAGTCGAAAAGACTCAGAATTACAGAAAGTAAAATTAGAATTTGGGAAAATTTGTTATAAATAATGTACTGTTGTAAAGTTAATCTGAATTTTGAAAAGTTTTTTACTATTTGTTGTAAAGTTATTCTGTTTTCAAAATAAATGTTTTATGTTAAAAGTAAAAATGCTTAAATTTAAAGTTTAAATTAGTGTGAATGAATGCAAATGAATTACTTGCAAGAAAGTTAAAAGCATGAATGAATGCAAATGAATTACTTGCAAGAAAGTTAAAAGCATGAATGAATGCAAATGAATTACTTACAAGAAAGTTAAAAGCATGAATGCGTTAAGTTAGGCTCTCTAGTTTACACGAAAGTTGAAAACATCTTCACAATTAGTACATGAGGTACAGTGATGAAATTAGGTCTTGGAAGTCTAGTTTGATTTAACATTTAGGAAGTTGGTCAGGTAGAAATTGTTGTATATTACCAACCCACAAAAACACACTTGGATCATTACAGAACAAACTTTTTAAAAGCATTGAGGGACGTAAATCAAATTTATGAATGAATCAAATTGCTTGAGAGCCAAATAAGTGCGATGAAATGTCACTTGTTCTTGAAAATGTCGTCAAAGCATCTATCTCTACGAATAGGTTATTAATGCTTTTTCTTCCAGATACATTAGAAGACTCAAGAGTTCAAGAAAATTATGTAGATTCCATAAAGGAGATTGTAAAAAATTATTTCTTTTTTCTTAATCTCAGTTTAGAAGTAGAGTAATTGTAAAGTTGGCCCTGAAAAATTTTAAACTTCGATTCTTAGAATGAATATAAAGATAAGAGTCTTAAAGTTTTGCAAGTACATTTTAAAATGTAAAATTTGAAAGTTGAAATTAAAGAAAAATTTTTAAGGTTAGAATTTAAACTCTCAGCAAGGGCATTGTGTGAGACTCTTAGTTTGAGTAATTAAATTCTGGTGCAGAAAGATGTAGGGGTTATTTTAATTTTGAATTGTTTTCCTTTAATTTCTTGCTTCGCATCTACAATTCCCTACCAGAATAAGTGTTCAGGATCACGTTTTATGTAAATGAGGTAGAACTAGTATTTAAGAGAAAGTCTCGGTCACTTCAGGAGAAGAGCTTAGAAATACCTAGCACAGTGTGTTCTGCCTTTTGGCCACATCGTTTTTTTAAGCCAAATTTTACTAGGTTCGGACGCATTGTTACATGCTTGTTAGTAGTCGCCAGTGAGGTTTAATTAAGGACCATTTCTTTTAGTCATTCCTGTGCACTTCAGCTAAATTTTTAGTTAGTTAGCATTAGTTCAGTTTCTTATTTTCTATCTAAAGTTGAAGCGGAGGCTTTCCCATAAGCCTGAGAGGGGCCAACTTGTAAATATTCTCAAGTAAAATAAAAGGGTATTTTAACCCTTCTTTGGACTTGCTATTCTAGCCTTTTACAAGTCACGAATAGTCGCTACACACTTCTCAAGTATTCTAGTTGTTGAAGACAGTTAATTTAAACAGAATCATAACTTTCTCAAATAATTCACAAATCCAGAAATCTACAATGTTAGAAATACTTTACAAATTCATTTAATTTAGATACATAATTATTTAATAAATTCAAAATTCCCTGAAATTGTTTTAAGAATCAGCAAAACTAAATAGATAAAAAAAACAAAAAAAAAAAAAAAATTTCACATTAACATATATATATATATCTTAATGCACTTACAGAATTACTTAAGGTCATGACTCTGAAAATAGTTTCACAGCATAATTTTATACTGGACTTTGGAAAAACACCTATAATTTCCTGAAGATGTGAAAGTATGTAGAAAATATTACGTGATGATGGATCTGAAAAAAAAAAAAAAAAAACTCTCATTACATGTAATATTTATTACTACAGATACTTAAATATGTCAATACAGTAGAAGTCCAGAAATCCGCAACGCTTGGGACCAGAGGTTGTGCGGATTTCAGGACAGAAAAGATAATATTCAGATTAAAAATGCAAAATAGATAAAGCGTATTAGATATATTTAATTAAATTATTATATATATTAATACAAAAATTAATTATATGCATTAAATTATTATTACATATATAAAATGATTATATTATACTGTTCATTTACATTAGACTCCTCTATTTTAAATCAGCATGAATCTACTTCCCCTTTTCTCTCAAAGTAGTCCTGAAAGAGGTACCCCATCACTCCGCCGCTGCTGAACCACTCTTACAAGACAGCATCAAGGTTTGTCGATTTCGCCTCATGTTAAAGATTTCCGGTTTTGGATTCTGGTGTTAGAATCACTGTTGCTGTACAATTTCAACAGCTTTTCTTTATTGTTCCGTATATCATACACAGTCCATGTGGCAATTCCATACGATTCTGCTATAAACTGAGCAGTAGCACCTGCCTCCATTAGAAAGTACAACAACATGAAGCGTGAACTTAATCGTCTGCTTTTTTACCTCGATGCAGATTAGAGGGGGAAAAACTCTTATCATGATGTCAATAATTTGGTATTTCCGTTATGACTCATTATTATTCAGTAAGTATTACGTCATTATCCAGTATTTTTAATTCGATATTTCATACTCCATGTTGCGGTTTCCAGAACCTATAAACTAAATGTTTATATTTTGAGAGGCAGCGCGGATTTCAGGAGTTGACGGATTTTCGGTATTTGACTGTATATTATACAGGAAATATGTAGCACTCAGGCTTAAATCAACTAGAAAATAAGCACATGAAGTTAATCACGACCAACTGTACATTATTAATATTAAAAAAATTGCGAAAATAGAAGATTTTTAAATGTTAAAACTATTTAAACTTTACACATCAGTTCTGAGATTACATACGCATTCATAGAAACACACAATATTTATCAAGTACAAAACAGTGGTCTCAAATTGCATGGGGGACAAATGCACAATCTGAAAGCAGGCAGGCCAAAAATTTTTTTTAGCAAAATGAGAGTGCTCCAACCTTTTTAAGTTTTAAAGTTCTTATACAAAAACTTTACTGTATTGAAGGTTAGCAGCCTCCTTACTTTTATATCTTGCTAGTTTAACTCATATTGAAATCACTAAATGTCATTCCACTAGATGACAAACTTGAAAATTTAACGCCATGCCTGCTACAGGTAAACCCAAAAAACAATTTCTATGAAAAACATTTAACTGTATTTACATGATTACATGAGGTACTTGACATATTAAATATATAGGACAGACTAAAAACAATCTTAACTTTCGAATCAATAACCATAGAGCTCAAATCAAAAAATTCAACGCACAAAAAAATAACATTAAAATAAGTACACCATCACAACTTAATACAGCAGAATTAGAACACTTTAAACACCATGACTTCAACTCTATTCAACTTCAGATACTAGATATAATACCCAATCACAAAAACACGAATTTTTCAGGAATCTCTCTATATACTAAAAACAACGTTCACTTTATCCATATGGACTTAACACTTATATATACATAGTCATAGAGATACTTCTAAGAAGTCTATTTTCAGCCAATTTAAACTCTACAGCATCAAAAAGCAGAGAGGAAAAGAGGAAGCAAAATAAAAAATAATGCGAGATTTTTATCCACTTTGGATACACTTGCATTGAAAAAAACAATTGAAATGTTTTTTTGACTCAGACTGTTTTCCCAAGAAACTTCTCAACTGGTTACACTCCTGTACTAATAAATTCCTTATCAAACTAAAAAAAATTCATTCAAGAAAGCTACGACGACATACAAATCATTAAAGACATGATTCTTGATTTTAGTCTTTTCAGACTCTCTAATAGTCTCACTCAACGCAAAATTTATTTTAAAGTCAATTTTCTGCATCCGCAGTTTGACAATATTCATTTCTCAAGAATCATCAGAGATTGTAAAGATTACTTCCCCGCAGTTGACACTATACCAATGATTGCATTTAAATATCAAAGGACCTTAAGCAACTTGCTTACTAACCACCATGAAATAGATGAAACTGCAGAATGACATTGTAAGACACCAATTTACAGCAATTACGTAGATTCTAATGACCAGCACATAATTACTGGCAACCTGAATATCATACAAAACCATCAACTAAAAACACTAATGAGTTATGGTACAAAATTTAGACCAGTCAGAAACATGACTACAAATTACTGTTACAAGACTTTCGAAAACAACATCAACGAATTTATAGTTAAAGCAAGCTATCAACTGAATTTTCCCATAGATACCTTCTTAAAATGGAAAGCTAAAATTCTTCAACGCATATCCACAGAAATCAGTCACCTCAAATTTAAAAGTACACTGAACTGGTCGCAACTTACATCTGATATTAGTAAATTAAAACAGCTTTTTACTATTACAAAAATAGATAAAGCAACTAATAACTTTAGCATTATATGAAAACAATTCTACACTGAGATTATTCATAAAGAACTTCTCAACGCAACTACTTATCAATCAGCCAACCTTACAGAAACATCTATAATAAACAGGATTAAAACTTTTCATAAGAAACTCAATATTACTTTCAATGCAAACTACAACAGATTTACTAAATTCCATAAAACACCATTAAAATTTAGATTTATAGCTAATGGAACTAATAATTACAAGAAAAATATAGACTATTATTTTTCAATTCAACTTAATAAAATCTGTAAATTTATTTTCAATGATTGTAACACTAATCATAACTATTGCCGGATCATTCATAATAACACTCCTGTCATTAATACCATTCATACCATTAACATCCAAAACATTAACTGCTATGATTTTGAAAACTTATATACCTCACTTCCTCTAGAAGAAATCTATACCAGTCTACTTGATCTACCAAAACTTTTCCCTAATATACTCAATATCATGACTCTTGACAAATGGAAAAACCTACCTAAAATGCACACTTTTTCATAACTACATCAAGTTTCAAAATCAACTTTTTAAACAAGTCAGAGGATTGCCAATGGGCTTACATTCCAGCACCTCGATCTGTAATATCTTTTTATTTGTCAAAGAATTTAACTTCCAAAAAAATCTACAACCACAAGAGTTAAATTACTACAAACACACCTACAGATTTATTGATGACCTTATTACAATTAATAATTTTGGTAAAATTGAAAACTCCGACATTTATCCGAATTGTCTTAAACTTAATAAAACTAATAATTCACAAAATAGCATAGACTTTCTAGATCTTCAAATCATTAACTACAAAAAAATTTTACTTTTTGACAAAACAAGAAACTTCAATTTCAATACTAACAAATTAATAAATTGGAACTCCAACATATCCAAAAAAGTAATTAACAATACTATAATTAATCAAATACAACGAATTAAAACTATATGCACAGATACAATAGATTTACAACGCGAAATTTTGATCCTTATCAGAAATTCTCAAAAATAATCTAATTCCCTTTCAATTTATCAACCATTGCCTTAAAAGAGCAGGCGTTAAATACTCACTCTAAATCATTTAACTGATAGGGATATGATAATTTATTCCTAAACCTGAGAAGGCGGTATAAGTTGGATGACTGTCAGTTGAAAGATTTGTATATAGTGTAATTACTCAATTGTATATATTGTAAAAAGCTAATTATCTTCAGACATATACTGTTACTAAAAAAATGGGCCTATTTCCTGCCTTTAGACTGTCTACTAGCTCTTGGATAGCGAAAATGCCTTTTTTCCTTTCTTAAATTCTTAATCATTGCGACACGACAATTAGCCAGAAATTAATTAATTTCCATTCAACTAGTATTTTTAAAAAAAAAATCTTAACAGACGGTCTCTCTCAGATAAGAACTCCACAAAATACATCCCTCAAGAATTCCAAGTCCCACCCACTACCATAAATTTCTTCACCCAAGTCTTGCCGACTGATATAATTCAAAGCCCCTACTGCCGCTAAGAATTTTCGGACACCCTACACTTCTGAGTCAGACACGAAGAGAACACACTGCCAACTCCCCCACTAGAAAGAATGTAAGTTACTTAATACCTTTCTGGCCTTTATATCTTCATGTACATTCACTGATCTTATTTATATTATTTTCTATTTTATTTTTATTTTTTTTATTTTATATTATTTTTATGTTCTCTTTGATTTGTTTTTTGCAAAAGTTTGCATTATATTATCTTTTTTATAATCTTCTATGTTTATTTCAACTTTACTTTGATTTCGATTTCATAATGACAATTTCCAATGTTTAATTTCTACAAATAATATAGTACTCAAATACATAAAGATGATAGTGTCGGGGACGATTACTCGAGTTTTACAAGATTTCTCTACAGTAATTGATTTTTTACTCCAAATTGAATTGACTAAAATGCTTCATGAAGAATCAGTTCTTTAAGTAACAACTATTCGCGGAAATATTTGGCCTGACTAGAATTGCCGGTTTGGCTTTAATTTATAACTCGAGTAAAGACGAAACACTTTCATATTTACGTATTTCTATCAATTATTGATCATTGAACGGGAGTTGGTTTGTTCCCCTTGAAAAGTCAACTAATAATTTCCGATCAATGACAATAATTACATGTTTTAATTTTACTTTTACAATTGTAATATTATTCGTGATGATTTAACTCCAGTCCCCGTTAAAACATTATTAACATTTTGCTTTCAAATTACTTCAAAACATCTTTCAAAATATAACTTACCAGTATGGATGCACACTTTTAAAATAATTCTACTTTAATTAAACTTAGGAGATAATATAATCAATTAATCAATACGGTTTAGGAAATAAATTATTATATATATATATATATATGTATGTATGTGTTCATGTTTGTGTGTGACTCA